ATCCATCCATCCATCCATCCATCCATCCATCCATCCATCCATCCATCTATCCATACATCCCAATTGTACATGTGATCCTTAAAAACATCTTTGGATAAGTACTGTATATCAAGCAAACACACTGTATATTCAGTACCAATGCCCATATTTTAGCACACTGTTTACAATTCAAGTATGGATATTAAAAATATACATATACAGAATCATAAGTTACCAAACTCAAAGGTTATTTAAAAAACAACAATCAGGATTATATTTCTACACAATTAATGGCACATAGTGCATCACTCAATGTTTACATTTCTGATACAGATCTCATAGAACAATTGGCTACCATAAATATGAACGATAGCCAAAGTTTTTCAAGCTGCTCGCTTACTTTTATTATTTTCAGCCACTCTTTGAATCAAAACCAGCTGCATTGTTTGAATAGAAAACCAAATCTGCATCTATTTTCTAAATGTAAGTAAAGCGTAACAACAGTTTGGCTTATTGACAGTTACAGTAGAAGCCTTAATAAAAGTTGTTCATGATAAGTTCACCTCTTTTTAAGAAGATTTTCTCATGTACAGGTTTAGCTGATATAATTAGCCATTGCACAGCAAAATGTTTGGCTACAGGATGGTATAGTGTCTGCTAAAAGTAATTTTTACACTCAGATGTGTCTGTTAAAAACAATAGCTATGCCAATGTCAGTTTTCTTCCTTCTTTAGATTAGAGGTAATTCCAGTAGTCAAAAAGCACCATTTAAAATACTAGTTAGTGTTCACACAATACAAAAAGTGAGAGTACATTTTTTTTAACAAAACAGACTGTGGACAAAGTATGCAAAATGTAGTCACTGTATGAAAATAAAAGGGAACTTATTTTGACGTCAGTAGAGAATAAATATGGTTTACAATAAATATATTACATATCTCAACAGAATATGAATGCTAGTGAGAGGTAGGGGGTTGTTGGCACCTACAGCAGGCCTAACAGAGGGGATGAGGCCAGACCTCACCCAGATACTGTGTCATGGTGCAACAGATGAGAACTTACAAAAAGATTAGAATGTGTTTACAATGGAAAATTAGTACTTTTTTATCTCTCCGTACAAGTGCTTATCTTAACAGTTTTTATGTCAGTGTTGTTCTCTGATTTTAAGCAGTTTGTTGTTCAGTGTTGTTGAATGCCTGACAACGGATAACATAATAACACTGATGACATAAACTATATATAGTCGGTTTAAAAGCTTCAAACGTTCGCTTAATGTTTGACCTCTGACCTGAGGCACGTCAGCAAGGATGACAGTACTTGGTTCTTCATCTTGTCGATGTGATAGTTCAGATGTTTTCAAGTGGGATTTTGTGGAAAGGTTAAAACTATTTAAAGCTCACCTGGTGTACAGGTTTAGAGAAATAGTTTCTGACAGAATGAAGAGTGGGAGTAGTTCCACAAAGGATCGCTTCCATCTTGAAACAAGTCCAGTCTCAAAAACTACAGTACAGAGCAGTTTATTCACAGTTTCATGTACTTTTACATCCCTGACATATTGCATTAGGCTGTTATTTATATAGCATCTTATAGCCACTTGTGAGCACAAAGTGCTATCTATGACACAAGATGTTATTTGTTCACCTTTCCACAAAACCCCACTTCAAAACATCTAAACTATCCCTTTAAGTCATTCTGACTTTTTGAAAGATATACTTTCTTTGTTGAATGAGAATAAGAATAATACTTTCAAATTCCATGTAAGCAGACAGATAGCAGTCTAAACCCTGTAATACATCAAACACATTCAAAACACTTTTAGTCACAGTTGAATGGCAACAATCTTTACTTAAAAGGAGTGTTTCCACCTTTTCACAGTTTTACTGGTTGCAGTTAAACTGATGGGTCCAGTTATCAACAACAGACTGAATATTCACTCCAACTCACAGATGATTGAATCAAAAGAGAGTATTTATGATGAAAATGTTGCTCTTGAAAAGAGAGGGGATAAAAACGTTTGACTTCTGTTTGCCCACTTGCTTTCCTCACACTGCAGAGTCCTGTATTCCTTTTATTTTACAAGGCAGGTATACAAGTACAGTGTAACACAACCACCAAGCAAATGAAGCCGAGTCCTTGAGTCCACATCACGGCGTTCATGTAGGGCTGCATAACGGGTTATGTTGTGTCCAGTCTAGCTGCCATGTGGAAACTGGAAAGGTCACTGTGTTGTGTTCAATGTTCCTCCAACACACTCACGACTGACCGCAGGATCAAACAAATCCCTCTCACAGTGTGTTTCTGGGCTCGTGTCTTCAAAACAGATTTAGGAGTTCGATCTCGGCTTGACTCTCACTGAACTGTAAGGAGTAGGCCGTGGTGGGCTTGAGGAATGCACTTGCCACAGAAACCACCACAGCGACCGTAGATTCTTGTTCCATCCTACAAATCAAGAAGAATGAGATGGAGAGAAAAAATGTGGGCAAAAGGGTGGCTTTGATGCTTGGAATGAACGCTTTATAAATGCCAGCAGTGGATTCTAGTTTGGTGAATCAGGCAGAAGTACAAGGAAGCTGTTCACTCTTCAAGATTCAACATGAAGCAGTTACAGCGCAGTAAAATGAAGTACCGTATTTTACGGAGTACAAGTCGTACCTTTTTGCATAAATTTGCAAGTCCTGCCATTTATACACCAAAGCATCTAATATATGTCCCCCCCCACCCCCCCACCCCATATTTATAACCCAATTTTTGACTGAGATCTGACACTTTCAGTCATTCTGACATAGAAATATTGAACACAACCAACAAAGTCCATGCTCAATAATCCAGGTATACAATCCAACAATTTTCAGTCAGGTCATCTGGACAGTTTCTTTGTTTGTTGAAACGTTTCACCTTCCATCCAGAAGGCTTCATCAGTCAAGGAAACACAATCCACAAAACTGATTCTTCCCCCAAACAGCTTACTCCAAAGTGGAACAAACCAGTTCAACCAGTTGTCACAGTTTTACTGGCTGCAGTTAAATTGATGGGTTCAATTATCAACAACAGACTGAATATTCACTCCAACTCACAGAAGATTGAATCAAAAGAGTATAAATGAGTAACTGGTTTGTTCCACTTTGGAGTAAGCTGTTTGGGGGAAGAATCAGTTTTGTGTTGTGTGTTTCCTTGACTGATGAAGCCTTCTGGATGGAAGGTGAAACATTTCATCAACAACAACAAACAAAAAAAACCTCCAGATGACATGACTGAAAATTGCTGGATTGAACACTACCATTTTCAGCTGCTAGAGGCCCTCTAGGCTTTTGACAACTACCGGTTGGTGTATCTGTTGATTCCAGACCCGCTAAAACCCCGCTGGCCCACTCCAAAACACCAAAACATCACCAGCTTCATTTCGCCATGTTTTGACCATCGAAGTGCATTTGTTAAAGAAAAGTTCAATTGAGACACACCTTTACTATAATTTTGAGCAAACAAATAATTGTTTTTAAGTGTTAATCTTGTTAAATTCTTGTTAAACTCCTCCCGTGCACGCTCCTGCAGCCGCCATTTGGCAGCCAATAGATTTTTGGCACAACACCGGCCCACATTTCTAGGTGGTCAGCGGTGACGCGTAACAAACACGATGCATCAGCGGTGACACATAATAGATGTGACCAGGGCCGGCCCAAGCCTCCATGGGGCCCTAAGCAAAATTTGGTTTGGGGCCCTCTATTTCTGCTAATAATGTGATTTACTGCAATCAACAGATCAGATCATTCACCCACCCAACATAAACACTGACAGCCCTGTTCACATTATGCAGGGGTGCCAAACTCATTTTCATTTTGGGCCACACCAAGCTCATGAATGTCCTCAAAAGGCCGGACATGGCAGAGTGTATTGATAAAACTACGTATTAACAAACTAGTAAAATATAACTTTCTCTGCATTTGCTGACTACTTCTAAAAATTAAACATTTTGTGTGTGAGTAATTTGGCATTATACACATAAAAACTGATTTGATTTGACTGATAAAGTAATATTGAAGCGCACAAATGTTATCGTGAAGTTCTGTTTCTGTGGCCCTCTAGGGCAGGGCTATTCAACTGGAGGCCCGGGGGCCAAATCAGGCCCACGGGTGTGCTCAGTTCGGCCCACTAATGGGTTTATTTGTAAATAAAACTTGATCTTAAATTGTAAACCAACTTTACTAAATGACAATAACTGCTGGATGTCCGGCCCCTGAGCTCTTGGGTTTCAGTAACTGTGACCCCCCAAGCAATGTAGTCGAACAGCCCTGCTGTAGGGTGTAGAGAGCCACAGAAATGGTTAAGGCGGGCCGGATTTGGCCCACGGGCCTTGAGTTTGACACATGCTATATTATTATAAAAAATAATATTATTAAAAAATATTATTGTAAAAACAAAATCACAACTTCATAATGAAATGGTGTGTAATAGAATCCTAGAAATCATTACCAAAAAAAAAAAAAAAATCCACTTAGGGGGCCCCCTAGTGGCCCTGGGGTCCTAAGCCGCCTAGTTTGCTTATGCCTTAGGCCGGTCCTGGATGTGACTTATACGGCAAAGTGGCTTATTTATGTTTTCCACTTTATTAGACATTATTGGACTTATGCGACTTATACGCCGGTGCGACTTGTATGGCGGAAAGTACGATAATCTAAACAAATACTTTAAAGGTGCTTTGTGTAATATATGAACTTACCTCAGATCTGTGGACTTTAAGAGAAACATAGTTGCCTTGAGATGTCCATTTGGTGGCCTGAGCCACTTTGAGACCAGTGCCAGTCAGATTAATACTGAACTGACCCTAAAAGATAGAAAAACACATCAGATCGAGTTAATCTTCCAAACTCTTGTGCATTCAGAAATATTAGGCACAAGCAAACAGGATGTGTCTAAAGTTTTCACAAGACATGATTAGCCCAACCTGAGGACACTTGGCTGCACTGTAACAGTCTCCTGCTGTAGCAAAGGGCACAGGGCGGCCGAGGAGAGTCAGTGAATACTGGAGGTCTGTGACTGATAACCAACAAAGACACATTTAGAGACACACTGTGAAGCAGCACAGTTTAACAGATCTGCCAGGAAGTTTAACCACACAGATAAATGATGTCACTCTGCCAGATGTGTTTGTTCTGCTTAAAAGATTGTTACTCCAAGTGCTTTTTAAAGTAACACTGGGGGGGGGGGTGGTGGGGGGGGGGTGAGGAGAAAATTGGGGGGGGGGGGGTTACATGAAGACATTAACCAAATCCAAACAGATTTATTATAATAAATAAATAATAAATAATACATTTATTTGACCATATTCATTCAGGTTTTGTATATTCAGGTTATGTTTAAAGGTTGTAAAGTTTTTCTTCATTCTTGCATATTCAATGGTGAGATGTAACAAAGTACAAGTACTTCATTACTCTACTTAAGTACATTTTTCATGTATCTGTACTTTACTTAAGTAGCGTTAAATGTGGGTACTTTCTACTTTACTCCACTACATTTTACATTAAGTATCTGTACTTTCTACTCCACTAAATTTCTATAATGTGTTGTGTTACAAGTTGCATTCATGTTGCATTATTTTGATTTGTTTGTTAGTTTGAAAGTAACCAGTGGCGAGAGGGGAGTTGGTCCATTGAATCACTACAAAGTGGTCAGGCAACGTTAGACCTGCCTTCAAGAAGAGCTGGACCAATGGCGTACATTCTAGTATATACGTCATAGAGCTGGGCGCACCCACAGCTCCACTAACCCACCCATAATGAATTCCACCATGGAGAGTTAGCCAGAAGATACACACCACCCATGGCCTTATTGAAAGACTATTGAAATACTATTGAACGACTATTGAAAGATTATTCAGTACAGCAGGACAGATTTTTGCCCAAAAGAGCCAGACTGGACTCAAAAAACTTTGAAAACCAACTTTTTCTGAACTTGAACAAGAAATTCTTGCTGTAATATTAAAATGTGTCAGTTCATGATGTTAGGAGACAAGATGTCTCCAAATGTCTCGACACTCGGGTCCAAGTTTTGAAAATGGCATCTGGAAGTTAAACTATTGTTCATTATTGACCCATTACAAGGTTGACTAGACAATATTTTAACTAGAGTTGATGACAAACTGGAGTTGAAATGATCATAGCCTGTTCCTTTGTTTGGTCTAATGCTCCTTTTTTCAGACAGACAACTTTTACTTAAATGTGTTGACTGCAGTTAAAATTACACAATGGTTTTACTTTGTGTTAAATAAAAACTTTCAAAGGTATAATCATTCCTCTTTTTTATTTTTCTTAATGGCATTTGACTCTGCAGGTCATCCCTGATGATGCACAGAATCACAAGTCCAAGTGTGAACTGTGCCACAGAGTAAACACAATAAAAACATGTATTATCTGCAGCATTGTTCATTAAAACAACATTATTAATGTATTACAGAAAATATGCATACAGTAGGCACACGATGATATTGTTCCATTGCATTAGGTAATACATTCAGCAAGTACTTTTACTCTAATACTTCAAGTATTTTTAAAATCAAGTACTTATTTACTTTTACTTAAGTAAAAAGCATTAATGTGGTATTTCTACGTTTACTAGAGTACATTTTTGTCTGTTTATTTGTAATTTTACTTAAGTACAGTGTTTGAGTACTTTCTCCTCCACTGCTAATATTTTACTTACAGGTGACCAGTTTTTTGAGAATGAAAGTGTTTCAAATTTGTTTTTTAATTTTCATTAGTCATTTTGACTCTACGATCACGAGTAAAAGGGAAGTTCCTACAACTCTTTAATTTATTGTAAGTGTGCGTACATACTGTGAGTGTGTGATTACTTGCATGCAAGTGTTTGATAATATTCCAGTTGGATGTCAGTGCTCACAATCTGCCAGTGCCTCTGAGTAAGCATGTGCACGCATGCATGCCTTCATTCATATGTTTGTACTGAGAGGCCTGGATTCAAGCTTTCGCCTGGCGATGCAAACTCAGAGTGCAGAGAGTTGGGCGGCTGTGGCTGAGTGGTTAGAGCAGTCGTCCTCCAATGCAAGAGTTGGGAGTTCAAATCCACCAGCAGTCACATGCTGAAGTGTCCCTAGGCAAGACACTGAACGCCTCATAGCCTCTGATGTGTGTCCCATCAGTGTATGAATGTGATCTAAAAGCACTGATTAGTCTCTTTAGAATGATTTGTTCAATTAGCTTTGTAGAGATCTAGTAGAGTGCTGTATGAATGGGTAAATGAGGACACAGATTGTAGAGTAAAGAGCTTTGAGTATCTTGAAATAAAATAGAAAGGCGCTATATAAGTACAGTCCATTTACCATTTAGTTAGTTATTTTGATTTCAGTGGAAGGAGTGCGAGAGAAAAGCTGTGTTCTGCATCTGAACAGGCTTTTGGACGGGCCTTTATTTGCACAACGGGACAAGGCGTGTGAAGGTTTAAAACTAAGCTGATGTGTGGTCTCATTACAGTAGACAGTGGAAGGCAGTCACCGAGTAATTACGCACTCATTATCCTCAGCGAGTTTATGTCAAGGCGAACTTTTTGGAAGAGCGTGTATCCTGCTGCTGGATAGTCGTTCCTGCAGTCACAGTCCTGTCTGCGGCTGCCATTATATGGGCACTCGAAGGGGTTTAGCAACCTGTGTGGTAAAGAAAATGAGTGTGAAAATTTGAGATACTGTGTTTTACACACCTTCAGAGTCAGCTCTGCATACCTCTGTCCATACACCTCTGAGTAGTTGTCTGTCTGAGTGCTGCGCAGAGTCACATACTCCTTAGGAGAATCAGTCTGCATCTCAGCGCAGTAAATCTACAACCAAACACATCAGGACAGCAGATATCTCATGAGGGAAGCTGCTGTTAGTCAGGATGTGTTCAGGTGTAACTCTGGCAGAACACACAAACCTGTAGGATCCGAGATTTGACTTTCAGATAGTACTCCCCGTCCATCCTCACACCCTGCCTCATCTGGACCTCTCGGCAAGATGTGAACAACTGGCCTAAGATAAGATGCATGAAAAGGAGATTTTACTACAATAACTGGATAACAGGAAACAAGTATTTGAAGCTATACTATTAAAAGTCATCAAATTATTTATTTGTAAATCTGTTGTCAGCAAACACCCAAAAAAATTACAAAATCAAGTAATACAAACAGCCACGTTAGAAAGGTTTGCATCTCTTTTTGCCCCTCAACAAGAAGCGCTGTGTTGCCTCCATTGTACTCTAAAAACACTTTAGATCCCATAATACACAGATTAGCTGATTAAAATGAATACTTGACCACCGAGGTTGTTGCCACCCAAGCATATCCTTTTAATTTTGCCTGTGCCTGACTTGGCAGAAGCTAAGTCGGCAGTGATTACTGCAGTGTGCCAGTGCCGAAACATTCGAAATGTGTGTGAATGAAACTTTGGACTGCTCAATTAAAGCTGCCTCGGTTTCAGCACAAACCCTCCGAGACATCCTGACAAACCATCCAGAGCATAATTCTGTAGAAAATGCCTGCCGCTCTGTTTATTGTTCCACTGATCTATCACCTCAAGGGGCTTTGGGCGGAGTTATTGTTACAATTACCAAGCAAAGAAGTTGAACTAATTCAAACACACTCAGGCACAGTTTGGTTGTTGTCCACAACACAATCAATGTGATGCTTGCATGCTAAATATTTTATGTTGGACGTGTGCACGTGGGATCAGAAAAGTTTAACTAAATGGTTGAACTTCTTCAGCATGAAATTAAGAGTAAAACCATCAATGGGAGAATAAAAACACCAAGCGCTGGGGGGAGGCTCACATTGTCTTTCTTGACACGCAGCTTGAGACTCGGGTCTTTCTGCCAGACGACAGTGTTTTGATGGCTGGCCTTTGGAGGTCACACACTCCACTTTGCGAAACATCACTCCTGCACCACAGGTCTGAGAACACTGGTACACATAATGTTTTCCACACACAGAAGCAAAAACATAAAAAAAACTTCAAGACAGTTCCACAAATACGATTCAATAGCTAGTAAAAAGCAATAAAATGTCTTTCAGGAAAAATATGTTATTGATCTAAAGTTTTTTTCTGTCTTACAAATGAGTTTTGAGCTTCACCTTAGTCCACGGTTCAGCCCTCCAGTAGGTGGTGTGTGTGCACTCTCTGAGGAGGCATGGCTGGGTGGCAGGGGGGGATGGCTCAGGGCACTTTGTGCTCACAAAGGACGACTGAGTAAAGAAACGCTGAGCAGAGTAAGAGGAGGGCATCACAGAGCAGGAAACGATACGCTGCTGATAGCCAACACCACAGCTGGCAGAGCACTGAGAGACACACACCAACAGAAATCTTTATTTATAAAAAGGAACATGGAGTTTCCTTAAAATTACAACATAAAGAATTGGATTCAATGAAAATCTCTTAAACGTTCCTCCAGTTCAGTGGTTCCCAAAGTGTGTGGTGTGCCCCCTGTGGTGGGGGTGACTGAATGGGAAAAAAATTAATGCTTGCCTTGGACACTGCTGGTGTAGCAGGTTATTAACATTAATCTAAGTAATTGGTCATGATTTATTAAGCAAATCAGTTATTTTTTTTTTTGTATTAGTAGCCACTTGTTTGAGCAGAGCACTGAGTATGTCCTACTGCACTTGAACGCAGCCCACGCTTGTCAAGTAGCCAGGTGCATTCAGAGACATGCCATGATGCTGCTTTGGGCTACCAGAGGTAAGATGTGTGATGGCCTGGGGCCTGATACATGTTTCTTGCTTGATTCACGTTCATAAGTTTTATATAGGGCAGCACGGTGGTGCAGCTAGTAGAGCTGCTGACTCTCAGCGAGCAGGTTGCCCCAGTTCAAATACCAGTTAGGGGGGCATTCTGGGTGGAGTTTGCATGTTCTCTCTGTTGATGTGTGGGTTTTCTCCAGGTACTCCAGTTTCCTCCCACAGCCCAAAAACATGTATGTTAGGTTGATTGGTAACTCTAAATTGTCTCTAGGTGTGAGTGAGAGAGTGAATGGTTGTTTGTCTAGTTTGTCTCTATGTGTCCCTGTGATGGGCTGGAGACCTGTCCAGGGTGTCCCCCACCTCTCACAGTGACTGCTGGATATGGACACAAGTGACCCCCATGACCCAAAAAGGAAGAAGCGGGTAAAGATAATGGATGGATATATGTCCTTGTGTGGGGATAGGGATGTTGTTTATTGACCACAGAATGTTATCTGGCCTATTTGAGCCAAAATATATGTTATATTTGAAAGTATAGTAAGCTAATGCTAGCTTGTGTGTCCCAGTTATGCTTCCAGAGATCAATAATCTCATGCATGAAATCTCACGTGTCTGCCCTTCAGAAACATTTCCTGAGATGGGGTGTGGAAATTTTCTTGTAAATCAAAGGGGGACCCAGCAGAAAATGTTTAGGAACCACTGATGCTTTTAGTATTAGTATTTCATTGTTTCTAATTGTTTTTGGTTTTATATTTTTATTCCATGTGCTGTAAATATATCTTGCTACTTTATATTTGATATTGTGATATTTTTGTTAAGCACTTTGGTAACAGTTTCTGTTTTATATGTGCTCTATAAATAAATCTGACTTGACTTTTATTCCTACCTGGGACCATTCTCCTGTTAGCCACATGTAGCGGCAGGGAGTTTCTTCACAGTGTTGGAGCGGTGGCGGTCTGGATGATGGTCCACAGTAGTCATCTTGGGCCGGTATCATCCCTGGACCCATACAGCCCACTTTTCTGCTTCTCAGGCCTTCTCCACACGTTGCATTACACTACAAATAAAAATAGGGGAGGGTTGTATTGTTTTATTTTCAGCAAGACAACCACTCATTGCTGAGACTCTCAGCTCTTCATATGGCATAAACAAACCAAAATGCAACAGTTCTAGTAAAACTGTGCATGCTAATTTCAAAATCCAATTTTTAACAATAGCAGGTTTTAAATTCTTAAGGCAGGACAGAAAATTACATCATACATTCAAATATAAAGCCTCGGTGCTTTGTCCCTATATGGTGCCCTTTAATGTGCCTGATTTTAAGGACAAAGTGCACAACATTAAAGAGTTGAAACAAAAACTAAATACTTTGTAAAAATAAAACACTGCTTGCGTGACACAGAATTGTAACATTCAGCAGGACTAAAGAAATGATCTCCATCTGTGATTTGAGGTTTGCCGCTGTTTTAATTTTTTTTTTATTGATGTTTATCTCTAAAACCGGGTACTTTCAGGTTATCTACTCCATGAAACAGAAAAAGAAATGGTGCAGGCGTCAGTCAGTTAAAAACATGAATACAGTGGTTATTTATCCTGTACATTTATTTCACACAAAGATATTGAGCAAAAGAAAATAGGAATTCAGACAAAAGCAATTTCTTCCCTCCACTTACTTTTCCCCATTCAGCAGCAACCCAGGTGTAGTGTGTGCATTCTGCAGTGTGACATGGTTGGACAGCAGGAGGACGTGTGTGAGGAACACACAGATCCTCTCCGACTCGTCCAGTGCCTTTGAACCTGCAGTAAACCTCTCGCTTCTGAACTCCAGACCCACAGCTGGCAGAACACTAATATAACAATAAGAAAACATACAAGTAATTAAAGAAAACACAAGTTTTAACCATTGAAAAGATAATGGTTATGATATGTGTGCTGTATACAATATAGCATAAAACAAGAAGGGTACATTTAAAATAGTACTTTTTATTTTCAATCTAAATCACATAAATTATGTAAGAATAAAAATAGCTAAATCTATTGCAGTACTATACAAAGTCAGGGAATTATTAAATGATAAAGCTCTGTACATGTTGTATAACACAATCATTGTTCCACATTTAATCTATTGCATTGATGTTTGGGGGAAAGCGTGTAAAACATTTACAAAACCTATTTTTATTTTACAGAAAAGAGCTGTAAGAATCATCACCAGAAAGCATTACAGTCACCCATCAAGCACATTATTTTATCAACTGATGTTATTGAAGTTCCACGATTTGGTAGATTTCAGTATTTTATCAGTTATGTATAGGGCTCAAAATAACACATTACCATTAAATATCCAAAGAAATTTTGTTAAAAGACAAAGTTGTTATAATCTTAAGGGGATAGAGATATTTGTCAAACCACAATTCAGAACTAGTCTGAAGGGAAGGTCTACCTCAATCCAAGGAGTTGGATTGTGGAATGGTCTAGAGTGATGTTAAAAATGCCAAGTCAATGTGTACATTTAAGAAAAAGATCAATGCTGAATTGTTAAAAATATATATATCAAGTAGCTTAGTGTGTATTGCATTAGAGTTAGAAAAATTAGAAAGAGTTATTTGTTTTGTTCTGTTACTTGAAAATTATTATCATTGAACAAATTGTTTGAAAAATGGGCAGATATAATAAGATTTTTTTCTTCTTTCTGCTGCCTTTCATTGTAAGTTTCTTGTATTTTTTAATAGTTCATGGAATTGTTTTGTTTTGTTTTTTAAAACGAATAAACTTTATACCATACCATACCAAATTTAAATGTGTTGCCAAACTAACTGAGGCACACAACTGATGGAAACTCACACTAATTGTCTAACACAATGTCATAAAATATTAAAACATTATCCAGCACAAAATCCTGTTACATAAACCAGTGTTTCTCAAATTGGAGTCTCTGGACCCCTGGGGGTCGACAAGCCCCCCACCCCCCACCCCCACATTTTTTTTACAAGCACATAGATGTTTAAAAAACCCTTAAGATACACAAAAAATGCAAGAAATCACATTACTTTATTTAAAACATTCTGGGGGAGGACCCCCAGACCCCTCTGCCTCACTATCTGCGTTCCAGCATTGGTTGGTTTACAAATTAAGCTCTGTTATTTGGTATGAATACTGCTGTTATGATTCTGTTCAGTTTTTTTCTTTAGTTGGGGCAGCTGTGACTGAAAGGTTAGAGCAGTCGTCCTCCAATGCAAGAGTTGGGGGTTCGATTGCACCAGCAGTCACATGCTGAAGTGTCCCCGGGCAAGACACTGAACCCCTCATTGCCTCTGATGTGTGTCCCATCAGTGTATGAATGTGATAAAGATGTATGAATGGATCAATGAGGGTGCAGATTGTGTTGTAAAGAGCATTGAGTATCTTCATAAGATAGAAAGGTGCTATATGCAGTCCATTTACCATTTTATGTAAAGAGTTTTCTGTAATAAATTGAAGAAGTGGCAATACATTTATGTTTATCATGTGAATAGGTAAAGTTTGAAAGTGGTTTTTGATGCTGTTCATTTTCTCAAAACTGTCATTTTTGGAAGCGGAAATTAAAAATTTTGTTCATTAAGTGTGTCTAATGAAAAATACCCCATGTTTAAAATAATAAAAATGGTATTAACACTATTAAAGAACAGGTCTTAAGTATTTATGTTAGACAAATATTTACATTGCATTAAAGAGACAAATGGAAGAAAATTATTTAATAAACATGAGGGTTATGAGGGGGTCCCTGAAACTTTTTCTGCCCTGTAAGGAGTCTCTGAACCCAAAAAGTTTGAGAACCCGTCATAAACAAATGATACATTTACCTGCAAAAACTCAGTATCCACAGGCATTAGAAAAGCTTTTTGACTTGGTCTCTGAGTGCAGATCTGCTGATTTGTTCAGTGTTCCTGTTCAATGCACTCGTTTAGTATCACACTGAGTTCTACCTCGGCTCAAACATCTGCTTGATGCTCTTTGAGCATCGAACGTCCACACTGAGGAAGCTTCCTGAACGGTTTGACTTCATCAAGATGATCTATTTGTTTCAGCATCAAAGACCAATACCAAATCCTCAACAGTTTCTTACAGTCTGAAATTCTGTGAATAATATCGCTGGATCAAATTTTCACAGAAGTGAATTTATTTTTTCACTGCAACTGCTAGTTGCCACTGCAGAGTGTGTGGCTGGCTGTGAAGAGTCAAGTCCATCAGCTTGGAGCAAGAACGAAAAACAACTCTTCAGAAGTCTGGCCTTCAAATCAAATCTAGCTTTTTGTTTAAACTATTTAAAACGTGAAAGTGAAACCTGTTGAGGCGCTATAGTGACAGGACTGCTGACAGCTGCAGTTACAGAAATCTGTTCCTGTGCTCCTGCAGAAGACTTGCTCTTGTTCTTGCAGCAACAAAGGAGAGCAGCATGAAGCTCCAAATAACATGAAGAAACATCTTCATGATTTCATAACAGAACAGAAAGCAGAGTTTAAAAAGTCATTTTGGCAAGATTACAAAATGTTTTCTTCACCTTTTGAGATTTTGTACCTGATAGTGAGACAGCTCAGGGAAAACTCAGCTACGCTACAGCTATGACTGTCTGTGTCTTCTTTTCGTTGGGGACCTTTGCAGGATGTCTATCAGCTTTTTTAAAAAAATGGTTTAAAGAATTGTTCTTCTTCTTTTGTCTTTTCCCTCTTCAGGGGTCTCCACAGCGAGTCATCCTCCTCCATCTCTGTTCTCTGCATCCTGTGTCCTCGTTCCAACTACCTCCATGACCTCTATAACTGCATCCATACATCTTCTCTTTGTCTTTTTCCTGGCAGCTGCATTTCTAATGTCCTTCTACCAATATATCTGCTGTCCCTCCTTTGGACATGTCCAAACCTCTGTCCCTCCTCTGGACATGTCCAAAGCATCTCAGTCTGGTCTCTCTAATTTTATCTCCCAGTTTTTCAACCTGTGCTGTACCTCTGATGATCTCATTCCTAATCTTATCCATCCCTGTCACTCCTAAGGAGAACCTCAACATCTTCATTTCTGCCACTACCAGTTTTATCTCCTGTCTTTTTGTCCATGTCTCTGTCTCCAGACCATACAACATAGCTGGTCTCACCACTGTCTTGTAAACTTTTCCTTTGACTTTGCTGACACACTTTTGTCACAAATCACTCCTGAAACTTTTCTCCATCCACTCCATCCTGCCTGGACTCTCTTCTTCACATCTTTACCACATTCCCCATTTTCCAGGACAGTGGACCCCAAGTCCTTGAAGTCCTGAACCTTTGTGTCCTTCATCCATCCATCCATTATCTTTACCCGCTTATTCCATTTTGGGTCACGGGGGTCGCTGGTGCCCATGTCCAGCAATCACTGTGCGAGGGGCGGGGTACACCCTGGACAGGTCGCAAGTCCATCACAGGGCCCCTTTGTGTCCTCTACTGGTTAAATATTTTTTTATATCTCAAAAAAATGGCTGGAGCACAAGTATGGATGATACAGGTTAATTAAACCCCATCTTTGATATTTTTTTACATCTTTTTTACTCATAAATTAGTTAATATATGTCAGTTATGTTATGACAAATATAGATGAAGAATTTGATGGCCTAGTAGCTAACAGTTATCCCAGCACATACTTCGAGCATTATTATCAGTGTGGGATTTTTGCTTCAAGTTTTTCTTTACTGTTGGAGCCAACCTCATTAGTCAGTTAGCAGATTTTCTCATGACTGAATTAGAATCAAATTATCATAAAGTATTCATTGGATGAGCTGACTGATTTTTAGAGCAATTTTTGCATTGCTTATCTTTGGTATCCATCTTGAATCAAGCTGACTCCAAAAAGTTGGACATCAAAGAGAAGTAATACAGAAAAACTCAGTCAGTTTTACAGACACTGAGGAAAGAATTGATTCTGAGTCATCCCAAACTTTTAGACTCAACGTCATGCCAAATATTACTGTCAACGTTTGACCAAAACTCTACAACTGTCGTTTTAACACGAGGATCTACGTTTTGAACTGGTGTCGACCAATGTGCAATCTTTAAGAAATGTTAGGTTGTTAGTGTTTTAATCTTTTTGAAGTGCTGCTTCTTACACAACGCCTATTGGACTTGACTGAAAGACCTGTGTGGCTGTGGAATACCTCGAAGCATGGTGCCGAGGTTTCCAAATGTCACATGCATGAATATTAAGATATAAAACATGTCGTTTTAGTCAAGCTGATGATTTCATGGTTGCTGTTGGTATGTTTGGGGGTGGGGGCAGAAGGGATGATTGTTTCCAGACACCAGTGGGAGAAAAAGAGGGTGGGGGGGGGGTAGGAGGACACACTCCAGAGTTTGAGGAATGGCAGGAATCATTTGAAAGAAGGCAGATGGATTGTTGTCCTGAACATTTTGGTCCATCTTTAGTCATTTTGGAGCCTTGAAGCAGCAGTGAAAACATACTTAAGTTACATCAAACATAGAAAAATAAAAGTCTATATTCTGATAATGGCTGAATACATACTCGTGTGTGAACAAACATATCTCTGTCAAAGTTCAAGGTAGCAGACAGTTGAGAAACCTGAGACTTTGCATGCATCAGCTGCACGTCTGGATCTCAATGTTAATCACATTTCAGTGATAGCTTGTATATTCAAATGCATGTCAGTGTGTGGTCTGACAAAAAGAGATGCCTTACTTTCTCCAGGGATTTCAAACATTTTGTTTGAATATTATAAACCTGAAATAAAAATGTCAAGCACACTGTATAAATAGTTTGGTAAATCCAGCCTGCAGTGTTCAGTTTACAGGAAATGTCACATTACTCTTGAATAAGGATAAACTGAGCGGTGATTGGACAGTGTGTGTCCCACATCTGCAACCTCTGAGAGGCTTTCTCTTCTGTTTGTGCTTGTGTCTCTGCTGGTAGGTTGCAGTTGGTGACAGTAATGATCAAAACCAGATGAAACACCAGGAAGAACAAACATACCTCCTGCCACCTGTTGGCTTTCCACACGGGGCATCCTCGAACCCGACAAGGCTTCTGCGCTCGTGGTCGAGGCAAATGACCACAGTGAGTCTCTTCTAGTTTGGTTTGATTCTGTAAAGCACAAGTGACGTCCCGCTGCTTGATGCCCCGACCACAGCTCACTGAACACTGGAAAGAAGGAAGAGATGTTTGGTTTCTTTGTTTGAGAATAAAACAATTTAACAACATGTTCAGAAATAGAGAATATGCACAGCCGGTGTAAAAAGAATGTCCATCCTTTTCAATAAACATGACGCAACCTGTCAATCCGTCGCTGGAAAAATGTAAAAGATGATTAAACTCTGTAACCAACCTCATGAGCAGCTGAATAAAATATTGATAAACAGGAAGTACCACATGTTCATCTGTATGAAGGTAAATCCTCCATTTTCTGTCATAATTACATTGTATGATTAATGTCCTGATGCATGCTCAATGTATGATTATTGGTTAAATTAAATTAAAGGTTGATGCCTAAAGCTAGTTGTGCTTTATTTTGTGTGTTTTGTATATAGATAACTTCTAGTTGCACAAGTTTAATCTCTTTTTTGTTATAAAACTAAAATTTAGTTAAAACTAAACATTTTTTTACAAAGAGTTTATCAGATTGTGTAATGTCAAATTTACACTCTTAGTACATTCTGAATTTCACAGTAAACTATAACCCTTTGTCACTCTGCGGCATGAAAACCTCTATTGCAGTAACTATTTTAAGTTTTAAGTATCTTTGAAATTTTTTTTTTCTCCCTGTCTTCTTTGCCTTAATGCTGGCTGATAAGGCAGAAATGCCTCAATAAATGTGTCAGGTAACTCTGTGAGATTCACGACCTCCACCATTACAGCTGTTTTGTTTGTTCGAGGCTAGCTCATTCTGGGTTACATTTCCATGTGTGCGGAGCAATCCTACCTTTCATGTCATGTCAATTACATGAAAGGACATAATAAAAATGATCAGGCTTTCAATAGGTTTAAAAAAACATTTAAATCCAGTTACTAAGTAAGATTAGTTCTGAGCTGTTTCCATAAACAAACAAGTGGGAAACTGTTAGAAAAACTGTCATTACCCCCAAAGTTGAAAGTCTGGTTCCAAAAACCGATTGCGAAATTTTCAGGGAACTTGAAAAAACAAACAAACAAACCAAAAAAACAACAACAATAGCCCTATTTCAGCTACTGCAGGTCTCAGTTAAACAATGAAAAGTTGAAGTTCATGACAGGACAACTAAGAAAAGACTGAACAAGTATTGCTCATATGATGGCACTGCAAGAGAAAGCCAAGAGGAAGAGAAATAAAAATATTTCCGAACTTGCTCTCATACAAGACGGACACCTTTCTTCCCTCTTCTGTCCTCCTCCTGCTTTTTTTTTTTTTTTTTTTGCTCTCTGTCTGTGTATCGAAGCTCCTAATGTACACATCTTCTGAAACTAAAACTACTGTCATGGATCTGGTCAGCTGGACTATCAACACAATCGATAAAATCTTTTCAACAAAACAACAGGGTCCTGGAGAGCCCTCATGCTAGATGAGACGCACGTGGCAGGGAACGTCATGGATCCGTGAAGAGTTTGGGAGCTGATGTGTCTTTCCATATGTCTCAGGAGGATGCCAAATATGTTTATATAATTGGAGCCATGAAAGCAGGGTTTCTGAGTTTTGGCATCGGTGCATTCCTATGTTATCAGCTATTAAAGAAGACGGCGGAAGCAGTTTCGGCCATGGCAAAACTGCGAGTCTGTGTGAAGGTTCGGTACGTGATTCAAGTATTCAAAATCAGACGATTTATAAGCTAAACCATAAGATGGAAGCGATTTGTGAGAATTGCAGACCACCTGCGGCTTCTGGGACTCGCCAGCATAATGGGGACGATCTTGGAGGGAGCTAATAAGCATGTGCCAGTGGAACGCTCACAAATCTGGCTATTTTGGGACTGAAAGTACCAGCAGGACACAAGCTGACAAGGAAAAACAGTCTGCCTGAAAAAAGTCAACAATTGTGGCTTATCTGAATCTGACTCCCCCGGTTGGTCTTGAAGCAGGCCGACATCATATTTTTCCTGGGATATGTGTAAACCAAGGAAAAGTTATGTCTATCGCACCCCTCAAGAACTTCTGTGAAGGCTTATCAGAGCAGTACCAGCTGACACCAACATCAGGACAATGGACTATCTGGAAGTGTTTCATGGACAAATTTCACCGTCTTGCTGTCAAATGCATACAGTATGTAATGTGTTTATAAATGTGCTTGCTGGTAGTTTTTTTATGTCTTAAATCATGTCCTGATATGGACAAGGTGAAGAGATCTTTTTTGTAATACCACTATCCTATCCTCATGGCCTTTTCCCCTTTTCCATCAAAAAAAGTATTCTGAAAAAGGATAAGGGCCCGTGCTCTCAAGAAGCAGCAGCAACGTGCACTCCGCCCATCTTTTGGATGACTACGAACATAATCTCACTGTATTTTGGTACAATGATAATAAAGCTTTTTCTGATTCTGATTCTGATTCTGATTCTCTCTATCTAAGAAGATGGTAGCACACATTTAATAAGCAAAGTTGTATCTATATAAACCGCGTCTTCTGAACCAGTGCTCTTTGAACAAATAACACCAAAGTTGAGGTGTTTGACCATAATACACAATATCATGTTTGGAAAAATAAATAAACAAAAACAAAAAATGGACAGAAATCAATCGAAACACTTCACACAACCTGTCAAGCATGGTGGTGGAGGGCTTATGGTTTGGGCACCTTGCAGGTATTGAGTCAATCAGGAACTCCTCTGTAAACCAAAGTATTGAGGCCATTTGTCTGACAACTAAAGTGTGACATAAAGTAGGACATGCAGTAGGACAATGCTTCCTTACATGGCAGCAAACCTACAAGTGAATGGCTGAAAATGAAATGAATCAAGATGCAGCAAGGGTCCAGTAAAAGTCCAGACCTCAACCTGATTTAAAAGCTGCAACTGAGACAAGGGAGCTATGCAAAAACATATGTCTGCAAACACTCATACATCATACATTATCTTTACTCGCTTCTTCCTTAACTCGACCCGGGGGTGCCGGTATGTCCTGGAGCAGGGCTTAATTTATAAATTGATCAATGCTGGAACATAAATAGTGGGCGGCCAGTAGTGGGGTGGGAGGTTGTGCAGGCCGGTGGGGGTGGGAGCGGGGGATGTGGAGGGGGCTTGTGGGTCCTCCTCCCCTTTAATTTTTTTAATAAAGTAGATACTATTTTCTGCATTTTGGTGTAGCCTATTTTAATGGGTTGTTAAACATCTATGTTTACCTATATTTGTAAACACTTGATTAAATTACTATTTTAGAGAGAAACAACAGGTTGTGTGTGAATAGAGCAGCTCCAATTCTGTCAAGCGTCCCCGCCCCCCCCACACACACACACACACATACACACACTTCATGTTTCTGATCTGAACTCTTCTCCGCCTAATTCATTCCTGCACGTTGTTGCTCGTGCTGCTCCTGCTGCTCCAATCTCAATTATGACTGCCTTCTTGGTTGTCCAACTAAGGACAATCCATCCATCCTTTTATTTATTAAAGTAAATTGAACTGTCTTTTCGACATTTTGATCGCTGTTATTTTGACAAATTAGCGCCGCTGTTTTGATACATAATCAATGTGAATAATACACATCAAACATTTCTCTTGTTGTATTTTTTTACTGTAGCTAAGCTTTTATCTTTGTTATGTCTGAAATGTGTGCATGAGTTCACATCAGCAGTTGTGCACGCTCAGAGCTGTCTTGAGACGCTGCTGTGCGTAAAGTATGGCAAGCCAAGCGGCTCATTAATAGCCACTTTTACCACATGTTTGGCTATTAATGGGCTGCTTAGCTTGCCATATAGATGAAGACACTTCACCCTTGTGGGACATGCCATCTGTCTCTGCTGGGCAGGAGCGTGTGAGCAAGCTGGTGCGCCTGCTGCAGCCATAACATCCACTCCACAGACTGGGCAACATCTCCTCTCATTGTATTAAAATAAATAAATAAAAATGTGCGATGGCTTTGGACTTTTAGGGGCAGAGATTTGAGTTGCCGGATCCAAGCAAACAGTTGCTGGAACACACCCGATCAAAATGAGAGTCCCCGGATCTTGTTCCGGCAAGATCCGGCTCAAATTAAGCCCCGTCCTGGAGTCACTGTGTGAGAGGCTGGGTACACCCTGGGCAGGTTGCAAGTCCATCACTCTTTAAATTTAAATGACCTAAAGCAATGTTGTTGAGAAGACTGTGCAATATTTCCTCCACAGTGATGTAAGAGACTGGTAAGGGCAGAACGAAAACATTTAAATTTGTTTCTGCCAAAGGGCAGTCTACAAGCAAATCATTGGGATGCACTTATGTTTTTACACACAGGCTTCCCATTTTGGATGTTTGTCATTAACAAATAATGAGTTGAGGGCAGCATGGTGGTGCAGTTGGTAGAGCTGTGGCCTCTCAGCGAGAAGGGCACTGGATTAAATCCTGGCCGAGGGCCTTTCTGTGTGGAGTTTGCATGTTCTCTCCATGCATGTGTGGGTTTTCTCGGGTTTCCTCCCACAAAACATGCATGTTAGACTGATTGGTAACTCTAAATAGTCTCTAGGTGCGAGTGAGAGAGTGAATGGTTGTTTGTCTCGTTTGTATCTATGTGTCCCTGTGACGGACTGGAGACCTGTCCAGGGTGCCCCCTGTCTCTGCACAGTCACTGCTGGGTATGGGCACCAGTGACACCCCACCCCCCCCAACCTGGAAAGGAAGAAATGGGTAAAATAATGGATGGATGAAAAAGGACTTTCATTTTCTCATGACTGCACTGTGCTAACATTACTGTTAAATAAAGTCAAATAAGAATTTGTAATATATATTTAATATATTATTTTGATGTTGTGCTTTTTGTTTTGTTGTTGTGTTTTTATTATGTTTCATTAGGTTTTTGGTGCAACCAGGTGGTCACCTGGTCAATGCTCTTCCAAAAACATGTGTATATTTTTTGATTAGGATGTAATGAAACTTGATTATTCAGATGGGTTGTCTGCATAAATTATGTAATGTTGCTTTCTATGTTGTGTGAACTATTTATTTTAAATTAGAGACAAAGAAACAAACTAAAGCCCTCCATCATGG